AATTCCTGGGCCCATCTGCAATGGCCACAATGACTGTGAGAGTGGGAAGGGAAAGGAGGATGAAAGTCATCTTTGTAGCCCCCCCGGCCATCACTGGATGCTGTGCTGGGCAGACTGCTGAGAGGGGAATGCTGATGGCAGAGTGCTGCTGCACAGGGTTTTCTCTTCCCTCTCTCTGTCCCACGTCCTCCTCTCTTTTTCCTTGTGGCATGAGATGGTTGTCTTGGAGCAGCTGTGAGCCCCACAAGCACAGCTCTCTAGGTGAAGACCTCTTTCACTGGCTGTAGAGGACAATTCTTTCGATCCCATCTCTGAGTTCTTGGTACTCCATCATAGCCTGGGTGTGGGCGGCCGGATCCTGCGCCAGGCGATGGAAGAGGTTGGGTGGCTGGGCGGTTTTGACATCTGGGGGCAAGAAAATCTCCTGAGGAAATGTCTGATTGCCCACAACAAAGTGGTCAAGGTTTTTCTCCTCCAGGGAGCCGTGCAGGTACTGCATGGTATCCCCCAGCCGCCGCAGGACTTGCCTCCTGCCCCACCGTGACACGGGTCTGGTGTTCAGGAGGTGCATCACAATGGTCTTCAGGGTATAAGTGGAGAAGCCTATGCCCACCAGAGTATGGGCCAAGAGCTGCAGGCACTTGAGGTGCCAGCTCTCCTGTGGAACCTGATTGGCAATGTGGCTGAAGAACTTCATCTCTGCCACGGCGCAGGTCTCAGGCCACATTGTGCTTGGGGTGAAGAGGGCCTGTGTAGGCTGGCTGCTCACGGAGATGTCTGAATTGCCTACTTGCACCCCAAAGAGCAGCTCAACTGTCAGGCTCTCTCTGCCTCTGGTCACCTTGAATTTGCAGCAGCGGCTGGAGGGCAGCTTTATTGGAGCAAGGGGAAAGCGGTTTCTGGATTGCCCATCCTAAGTGCAGTGACTCCAGAGTGTTAATATGTGTTGAAACCAAGAGTGGGAGATCCATTGGTGCTATATTTATGTAATAATAATATTCTATCAAGTGAACTACCTATAAAATATATTATAAGTATGCATTAATAAAAAAATTATGTAGTTGTATATTAAAAGATTAAGGTCAGCTCTAACAGGGTCTGGGGCAGACAGTCTTGATGTAATGCTGACCTAAAGATGTCCCAAGGGGACAAGGGCAGACACTAAGAGAGATTTATATGTGCTATGTTTATATAGAAAGATTACCATGGTATCACTCTGCTCTCCATTGGTGGCAAAATCCTGGCAAGAATACTCCTGAACAGACTAATACCAGCTATAGCAGAAGGAATTCTACTTGAAAGTCAGTGTGGTTTCAGAGCCAACAGGAGCAGCACAGACATGATATTTGTTCTCAAGAATTGCAAGAGAAGTGTAGGGAACAGAACAAAGGTCTCTATGTAACCTTTGTTGACTTCACCAAGGCTTTCGATACTGTGAGCAGAAAAGGTCTTTGGCAGATTTTGGAATGTTTAGGTTGTCCCCCCAAGTTCCTTAAAATGATCATCTCACTTCATGAGGATCAGCATGGCCAAGTCAGATATGGCAACACACTCTCTGAGCCCTTTCTAATAAAGAATGGTGTGAAACAAGGCTGCGTTCTCGCTCCTACCCTTTTCACAGTCTTTTTCAGCAGGATGCTCCAAAGGGCCACGGCAGACCTCGATGATCAGGACAGTATCTACATTCATATCATACTGATGGAAGCCTATTCAACCTAAGGCGACTGAAGGCCCACACCAAGACCTTAAACCATCTTGTCCGGGAGCTGCTTTACGCTGATGACGCCGCCCTTGTTGCACACACAGAAGCAGCTCTGCAGCGTTTAACATCCTGCTTTGCAGATGCTGCTGAGCTCTTTGGGCTGGAAGTCAGTTTAAAGAAGACAGAAGTTCTCCATCAGCCTGCACCTCAGGAAGTCCTCCATCATCCCCACATCACCATCGGCCAATCAGAGCTCAAATCAGTCCAGCAGTTTAATTACCTGGGCAGCCTCATCTCCTCGGATGGTAAGATTGACGGGGAGATAGACAACAGGTTAGCAAAGGCATAGAGAGCTTTCGGAAAG